ATATGTTATGATTCTTGTATTTTTCTCTTTTTTGCTTTTTTATTTTTTATTTTATGTTTTTTCTTTTCCTTTCACTCTCGAAAAAAAAATTATTATAATTTAATAAACCAAAAAAGAAAAATTTCTATTAAACAGTTCTATTTGTGGTTGAAAGCTTTGTGAAAACTTACATTTTCTGCCATTCTCAAAATCCTCTCTTTCAGCGTATTCTTAGCTAATGGTATATCTTTAATTCTTTGGATAATTTTTTCTTTATTTTCGAAATCTTCGAATAAGTAGGGTGCACATTGCAACCAAGCTTCCTTTAAAAAAATGACGGTCATTAAAAGTTTTCCCATATTGAGTGATAGCTTTTGACGCTTGATAACTAGCAGCAGTAGTGTTTGATTGAGTTCCAATATATTTCATTAAGGACGTAGCTTGTGCATTTTTATTTTTGAAAACACGTGATATATACTCCTTTTGCTCTTTTTCACTTCGACTGAAAAGAGATTTGCGGTTGGTTTCATAATGTCACTTTACTGATGATGTTCTACAAACCACTGTTTCTGAAAATAAAATACAAATAGCTTTACTGTCCTTGTTAATCATACCGTACCTATCGGTCCACCAAATTGGAAATTCTCTGCTACTACCTGTGTCTGATAATTTCAATTTTTTCATTGAACTAGCCATAATAAAAAATTATAAAACAATAATCTAAAAAATTACATTTAAATTTAAAATATATGTATAAATGCAATAATTACCTACAACCAACAGACTGCCGAAAATCTATCGGGCTAGTTTTATGCTAATTATTAAATAAATTACGTAATCAATTTGGTACTAGAGGTAAGCGTTAGGCGCCATCTCTTATTAATATTAATAATTATAATTAATTTAAATAATTTGGAACCGCTGGGAGAAAAATCGGCCCGGAGCGGGACTCGAACCCACAACTCCTGCTTACCGTGCAGATGCGTTGCCAGTTACGCTACCTGGACCTCCGATCCGATCTCCTCTTCCAGCGTATATAATCTAACTACTTAACCATCGACGGTTATTACAACGCCGGCTGGGGACACATTCAGTGCCCACGTCCTACTTCCCATAAGGCTCTCAACCGGCCATCGCAAGCCCCGGCAAGGCGTAATATATATACAAACATCTCCAACCCGATATATAATTATAGCTACAACCAACAGACTGCCGAAAATCTATCGGGCTAGTTTTATGCTACTTATTAGATAAATTACGTAATCAATTTGGTACTAGAGGTAAGCGTTAGGCGCCATCTCTTATTAATATTAATAATTATA